TTGGCTGTGCTAATCATATGTCTGCTTGCTGCCTGTACTGACCTAGGACTTTTTATGGACCATGATCCTGCCTGTTGCCTAGACCAATACTTTGGCTGTGCTGACCATATCTCCTTTTGCTACCTGTACTGACCCAAGACTTTTTCAGACCATGTTCCTGTCTGCTGCCTGGACCAATACTTTGGCTGTGCTAATCATATCTCTGCTTGCTGCCTGTACTGACCTAGGACTTTTTATGGACCATGTTCCTGCCTGTTGCCTAGACCAATACTTTGGCTGTGCTGACCATATCTCCTTTTGCTACCTGTACTTACCCAAGACTTTTTCAGACCATGTTCCTGTCTGCTGCCTGGACCAATACTTTGTCTGTGCTGACCATATCTCTGCCTGCTGCCTGTACTGACCCAGGACTTTTTATGGACCATGTTTCTTCCTTCTGCCTGGATCTCAGTCTGCTGCCTGTTCTGACCCTGGCTTGTTTATCCACCATATTCCTGCCTGCTCGAATCCTGTGGCTGTTGCCTGCTTCCTGGTCGAATACTCTCCTAAAACCGCAGGTAATCTTTTGCTTATCCTTTCTTTAGCTAGGCTGTGAAAAAGTCTCACAAGTGGTATTGTCTTGTTTAGGAGGGAGTAGTAAAATTTATTTTTGAGCATAGAGGAAATATCCTATAAATTGACAACTTTGTGTAAAAAAAATACTTTTCATTTTCTTTCCACATTTTCTAAAAACTTGTGGAAAAAAATTACATGTTCAAAAGACTCATTATGCCTCAAAGAATATATTTTGGAGTGTTTTCTTTCCAAAATGTAATTATTTTGTTTGTTTTTCCATTGTACTGGTGCCTGGGGCCTTCAAAACTGTGATACGTAGTCAGGAAATTAGATGTGTAATTTATGCCCCTTTTATGCTCCTAGAATGCATGAAGGTGCTACTTGGATTTTGGATCTCGGTATGTGGCCAAGCTGCGGAAAAGTCTCACACATGTGGTATCACCATATTCGGAAGGAGTAGCAGGATGCATTTTGGGGCATAATTCTTTGTATGTACATGCTGTGTGTTAGAAATATCTTATAAATTGACAACTGTTTGTGGAAAAAAAAAAAAAAAAAAATTTCATTTTTCTTTCCACATTTTCTAAAAACTTTTGGACGAAAATAACACATTCAAAAGACTCATTATGCCTGATAGAATATACCTTGGAATGTTTGCTTTCCAAAATGGGGTCATTTTGTGGGTGTTTCTATCGTCCTTGTGCTCCAGGGCCTTCACAACTGCGATAGGCAATCAGGAAATTAGATGTGTAATTTATGCCACTTCTATGCTCCTACAACCTGTAAAGGTACTACTTGGACTTTGGGTCTCTGTATGTGGCTAGGTTGTGGAAATGTCTCACACATGTGCAATTGCAAGTATGTCTATGCCAGGTGTGAGAAATAACTTTATTTTGACAATTATGTGTGAAAAAAAAATAATTTCTTCATTTTCCAAAGAATTGTGGGAAAAAATTACAACTTCAAAAAACATACCATGTCCTTTACTAAATACTTTGGGCTATTTTCCAAAAAGGGTTCTTTTGGGGGCTATTTGTACTTTCCTAGCATGTTAGGGCCTCAAGAACTGAAATAGGCCATCAGTGCTTCAGGTATGATCAATTTGCAATGATTGGTGCCATAGCTTGTAGACTCTATAACTTTCACAAAGACTAAATAATATACACTGACTTGGTTTTTTTTTTACCTGTATCCTGTGTTCCTGTTTCTGCCTGACTTGTTGCCGACCCTGCCTGATCCTGACCTCTGCTGACTTCTCTGTTTGATCCCTGGCTTGTGACCCTGACCATTCTCTGCCAGACCCTCTGCACCGCGCTGCCCGTGAGTTACTGAACCCAGCTTGTGACCCCAACCACCTCCCGCCTGTTCCTGGTACTCCGTTTGCTACTGACCCAGCCTGCCTGACGACTCTTGCATTGTATGTATTGTTTATCTGTAGGTGGTTTGGTTTGTTTGCACTGTGTTTATGTTTAGATTTGCACTGCGTTTTGTATTGTTAGTCTTAATAAAGCATATTGTTTATACCATATCTGAAGCCTGCATTTCCCTGTGTCCGTCCACACACCTCTGGTCATACCCAGAGCCCTGACATTGCACCAAGGCCAATCCTGACCAGGCTGCACAGGGAAGCCATCTTGGCTTATTGTTGCTGGGAAGGATGGATCTTGATGAGGTTGTGTATTTATCTCTGCTAGTGTTTGATGACAAAGACTATGCTTATCAGACTCTGAAGGAGTATCCCAGGGATCAACTACTAGAGTGTATAAGGATCGCTCATTGCCTAGTAGATCAGGGCACAGAGTTTTCTGAGGTGCAGCCATTGATCCAGGTTTGTGCTGAGTTTGCTCGGTCCTGTACCCCTGAAAGCAGGAATTACTTTTTTCCCCCATTTAGTGTGGATCAAGTGGAATCACTGGTATGGTTGTTGGAGGATGATCCAGATTGCTTCCATGAGCATTATGCAGCTTGTACATCACATGTGCTTATGGATTGCATAAACGCAGTGCAGTCTTTGATCAGACAGGATATGTGTAAGCTGAGTTTTGTTCAACCAGTACTGCAGACATGGACAGATTTGTTGCACCCAGCCTCAGTCAGCTTGCAACATCATTCCTCTGCTCAAGGCACTCTTCCTGCATCCCGACAGCACCCCCAGTGACGGCCCAGTATACTCTGCTAACTACCACATACCAGTCCCCTGCTCCCACTCGCTGCACCTATCCTTTCTTTAACCCTGTAAAGAAGTCCTCTGTATCAACTGCTCCCTCCTCTGTTCCATCCTCCAGCTCTTCTCTGTCTTTAGCAGCTCCATTCGTTTACAGACCTGCGTTTACTTACAGTGCTCCAGTAACTAAAACCAGAAAAAAGCGAAAATTCTTTCCAACAGTACCATCCTGCCAGTATCCAAACCGGTCAGCCTGCCGTCTGAGAACCCGCCTTCCGTGGTTCAGCCTGGTGCCTCGGCACCCGCAATTCAGCCTGATGTCTCTACCCAGCCTGATGTCTCTTCCCAGCCTGATGAACTGATCCAGCCTAATGATCCTATCATGCCAGGTGACTCGGTGCCCGCTGTCATGCCTGGTGACCTGATGCCCGCTGTCGAGCCAGACGATCCAATGCCTGATGACCCAGTGCCCGCTGTCATGCCTGGTGACCCGATGCTCGCTGTCGAGCCAGACAATCCAATGCCTGATGACCCAGTGCCCGCTGTCATGCCTGGTGACCCGATGCCCACTGTCTTGCCAGATGACTCAGTGCCTGCTGTCGAGCCAGATGACCTGATGCCTGGTGACCCGATACCCGCTGTCGAGCCAGACGATCCAATGCCTGGTGACCCAGTGCCCGCTGTCATGCCTGGTGACCCGATGCCCGCTGTTGAGCCAGACGATCCAATGTCTGATGACCCAGTGCCCGCTGTCATACCTGGTGACTCAATGCCCGCTATCGAGCCAGATGACCCGGTGCCCACTGTCATACCTGGTGACCCGATGCCCGCTGTTGTGCCAGTTGACTCAGAGCCCGCTGTCGTGCCTGGTGACTCGGTGCCCACTGCCTTGCCAGATGACTCGGTGCCCGCTGTCGAGCCAGATGACCTGATGCCAGGTGACCGATGCCCGCTGTCGAGCCAGATGACCCGGTGCCCGCTGTCGAGCCAGACGATCCGGTATCTGATGACCCGGTGCCCGCTGTCGTGCCAGTTGACTCAGAGCCCGCTGTCGTGCCTGGTGACTCGGTGCCCACTGCCTTGCCAGATGACTCGGTGCCCGCTGTCGAGCCAGATGACCTGATGCCAGGAGACCGATGCCCGCTGTCGAGCCAGATGACCTGGTGCCCGCTGTCGAGCCAGACGATCCGGTATCTGATGACCCGATGCCCGCTGTCGTGCCAGTTGACTCAGAGCCCGCTGTCGTGCCTGGTGACTCGGTGCCCACTGCCTTGCCAGATGACTCGGTGCCCGCTGTCGAGCCAGATGACCTGATGCCAGGTGACCGATGCCCGCTGTCGAGCCAGATGACCCGGTGCCCGCTGTCGAGCCAGACGATCCGGTATCTGATGACCCGGTGCCCGCTGTCGTGCCAGTTGACTCAGAGCCCGCTGTCGTGCCTGGTGACTCGGTGCCCACTGCCTTGCCAGATGACTCGGTGCCCGCTGTCGAGCCAGATGACCTGATGCCAGGTGACTGATGCCCGCTGTCGAGCCAGATGACCCGGTGCCCGCTGTCGAGCCAGACGATCCGGTATCTGATGACCCGGTGCCCGCTGTCGTGCCAGTTGACTCAGAGCCCGCTGTCGTGCCTGGTGACTCGGTGCCCACTGTCGAGCCAGATGACCTGATGCCTGGTGACCCGATGCCCGCTGTCGAGCCAGACGATCCAATGCCTGATGACCCAGTGCCCGCTGTCATGCCTGGTGACCCGATGCCCGCTGTCGAGCCAGATGACCCAGTGCCCGCTGTCGTGCCTGGTGACCCGATGCCCGCTGTTGAGCAAGACGATCCAATGTCTAATGACCCGGTGCCCGCTGTCGTACCTGGTGACCCGATGCCCGCTGTCGAGCCAGATGACCCGGTGCCCGCCGTCGAGCCAGACGATCCGGTACCTGATGACCCGGTGCCCGCCGTTGTGCCAGTTGACTCAAAGCTCACTGTCGTGCCTGATGACTCGGGGCCCGTGGTCTTGCCAGATGACTCGGTGCCCGCGGACTTGCCAGATGACTCAGTGCCCGCGGTCTTGCCAGATGACTCGGTTTCCGCGGTCTTGCCAGATGACTCGGTTTCCGCCGCTCCGCCTGGGGGCCCGGTGCCCGCCGCCCCGCCTGGTGGCCCGGTGCCTGCCGCTGTCATGCCTGGTGACCCGATGCCCGCTGTCAAGCCAGACGATCCAATGCCTGATGACCCAGTGCCCGCTGTCATGCCTGGTGACCCGATGCTCGCTGTGTCGAGCCAGACGATCCAATGCCTGATGACCCAGTGCCCGCTGTCATGCCTGGTGACCCGATGCCCACTGTCTTGCCAGATGACTCAGTGCCTGCTGTCGAGCCAGATGACCTGATGCCTGGTGACCCGATACCCGCTGTCGAGCCAGACGATCCAATGCCTGGTGACCCAGTGCCCGCTGTCATGCCTGGTGACCCGATGCCCGCTGTTGAGCCAGACGATCCAATGTCTGATGACCCAGTGCCCGCTGTCATACCTGGTGACTCAATGCTCGCTGTCGAGCCAGATGACCCGGTGCCCACTGTCATACCTGGTGACCCGATGCCCGCTGTTGTGCCAGTTGACTCAGAGCCCGCTGTCGTGCCTGGTGACTCGGTGCCCACTGCCTTGCCAGATGACTCGGTGCCCGCTGTCGAGCCAGATGACCTGATGCCAGTGACCGATGCCCGCTGTCGAGCCAGATGACCCGGTGCCCGCTGTCGAGCCAGACGATCCGGTATCTGATGACCCGGTGCCCGCTGTCGTGCCAGTTGACTCAGAGCCCGCTGTCGTGCCTGGTGACTCGGTGCCCACTGCCTTGCCAGATGACTCGGTGCCCGCTGTCGAGCCAGATGACCTGATGCCAGGTGACCGATGCCCGCTGTCGAGCCAGATGACCCGGTGCCCGCTGTCGAGCCAGACGATCCGGTATCTGATGACCCGATGCCCGCTGTCGTGCCAGTTGACTCAGAGCCCGCTGTCGTGCCTGGTGACTCGGTGCCCACTGCCTTGCCAGATGACTCGGTGCCCGCTGTCGAGCCAGATGACCTGATGCCAGGTGACCGATGCCCGCTGTCGAGCCAGATGACCCGGTGCCCGCTGTCGAGCCAGACGATCCGGTATCTGATGACCCGATGCCCGCTGTCGTGCCAGTTGACTCAGAGCCCGCTGTCGTGCCTGGTGACTCGGTGCCCACTGCCTTGCCAGATGACTCGGTGCCCGCTGTCGAGCCAGATGACCTGATGCCAGGTGACCGATGCCCGCTGTCGAGCCAGATGACCCGGTGCCCGCTGTCGAGCCAGACGATCCGGTATCTGATGACCCGGTGCCCGCTGTCGTGCCAGTTGACTCAGAGCCCGCTGTCGTGCCTGGTGACTCGGTGCCCACTGTCGAGCCAGATGACCTGATGCCTGGTGACCCGATGCCCGCTGTCGAGCCAGACGATCCAATGCCTGATGACCCAGTGCCCGCTGTCATGCCTGGTGACCCGATGCCCGCTGTCGAGCCAGATGACCCAGTGCCCGCTGTCGTGCCTGGTGACCCGATGCCCGCTGTTGAGCAAGACGATCCAATGTCTAATGACCCGGTGCCCGCTGTCGTACCTGGTGACCCGATGCCCGCTGTCGAGCCAGATGACCCGGTGCCCGCCGTCGAGCCAGACGATCCGGTACCTGATGACCCGGTGCCCGCCGTTGTGCCAGTTGACTCAAAGCTCACTGTCGTGCCTGATGACTCGGGGCCCGTGGTCTTGCCAGATGACTCGGTGCCCGCGGACTTGCCAGATGACTCAGTGCCCGCGGTCTTGCCAGATGACTCGGTTTCCGCGGTCTTGCCAGATGACTCGGTTTCCGCCGCTCCGCCTGGGGGCCCGGTGCCCGCCGCCCCGCCTGGTGGCCCGGTGCCCGCCGCTCCGCCTGGTGATCCGGCGTCCAGCCCGATGTGCCTCTGTCCGGCGTCCAGCCCGATGTGCCTCTGTCCGGCGTCCAGCCCGATGTGCCTCTGTCCGGCGTCCAGCCCGATGTGCCTCTGTCCGGCGTCCAGCCCGATGTGCCTCTGTCCGGCGTCCAGCCCGATGTGCCTCTGTCCGGCGTCCAGCCCGATGTGCCTCTGTCCGGCGTCCAGCCCGATGTGCCTCTGTCCGGCGTCCAGCCCGATGTGCCTCTGTCCGGCGTCCCGCCCGATGTGCCAGTCTTTGATATCCCGCTGTCAAGGTCCTACCTGTTCCCAGAGGTTATGTTACTCCATGTGCTAGCATCCATCTTGGATTTCTGCTGAGCATGATGGGAATCTTTTATGCCTTCAGGTCTCTGAGGTCCATCCCCCAGAGGGGTGTGGCTGAGTACATATAAGCCTGGGATCTGCACATGCTCTTTGCACTTGTGTCTTGTGTCTTTGTCTTGCTACAGCTCTGTGTATACGCTCGTGACTCTTCTGGTATTCTGACTCGGCTTGTGACTAAGACCATTCTCTGCGTTTCCCTTTGATCTGACCTTCCGTTGCTGAACCCGGCCCGTGACCTGTGATTCTCTGTCTACTGTTCTGTACTGTTTTGTCCCGTTGTTATTGACCCGGCTTGTCTGACTACGCTATTGTCATTCTCACCAACTACACGCCATTGGCGGCGGCCATTACCGCAGCTGGGGTGTCTCGGGGGCCGGACCTGGTCCCTGGTTGCGTCAAGTCCATCCCCACCATCAGGGGCCCTGGTGAAGGGCAGCCTGGGACTTAGACTCCGCGCCCTGAGGGACTTCAGTCTGTTGGTGGTGGTTGTCGTCAGCCAGTGCGTTACCCTGCCACTAGGCCTACCTGTCCGTTCCACAGCCCTGCCCTGACACCCGCCAGTTACCGGACCCGGGCTGTGGAACATTTTGCCCAGCTAGAACTGTTTGGAGCGTCCTGAGGCCACTCCTTGAGGGGGGGGGTACTGTCAGGAATGGACTTGTCAATAATGGTGGGACTCACCTGCCTTGTGGGCTGCATTACCAGGGCTGGCCAGCGGGTGTTCTCAGCAATCAGAGACTCACCCCTGCAGTCAGCCAAACACCTGAAGCTGATTGCAGGGGTTGTATTTAAGGAATGGCCAGACTCACAGTCAGGGCCTTGGTGTGTGTTTTTCCATGGCCCCTGTATCTTGTATCCTGTATCCTGTGTTCCTGTTTCTGCCTGATTTGTTGCCGACCCTGAAGCCTGCGTTTCCCTTGTCTTCTGTGATGATCTCACGGTGAATAACTCTACACCAAGTTCACTATATGAACCACTGATGTATTCATACATGTTGATCATATTCTCCTTAATCTTCTCTTCTCAAGAGAGAATACATTCAGTTTCTCTATTCTTTCCTCATAGCTGAGCTCGACCATGCCTCTTATCAGTTTGGTTGTCCTTCTCTGTACTTTCTCCAGTTCCCCAGTGTTCTTTTTTTGAATTGGTGCCCAAAATTGAACTGCATATTCCAGATGAGGTCTTACTAATGATTTGTACAGGGGTAGAATGATATCACTCTCTCTGGAGTCTATACCTCTTTTAATACAAGAGAGGATTTTGCTCACTTTAGAAACCGCAGCTTGTCATTATTAAAGCTTGTAGTCTACCAGAACTCCCAGATCCTTCTCCACCATTGATTCCCCCAGTTGTACTCCCCCTAGTATGTATGATGCATGCATATTCTTAACCCCCAAGTGCATCACCTTACATTTATCAACATTAAACCTCATTTGCCACATAGTTGCCCAATTAAACAGCGCATTGAGGTCGGCTTGTAAGTTGGAGACATCCTGTAAGGACATTATTCCACTGCACAGCTTGGTGTCATCTGCAAAGACTGAAATGGTATTTTTAATCCCAAACCCTATATCGTTTATAAATATATTAAAAAGTAAGGGTCCCAACACTGAACCTTGAACCAAACATATAAACTGCTCCTGCAACAATTGGTCTTCAGGGAAAAGGGAGGATTGAATCAATGACAGCCCCTTGATTAAAAAGGCTGTGAACATCTGCCCACTCAGGATGCTGGTCATCAGTAGGCTGTGGACACAGAGTTATGCACTTCATCCCTTCCAAGGCTCTTTGAAGCCTCTGGACTACTGTATAAGGAATTACCAATCCTGGAGAAAAATATAACACCAGTCTTCTCCACTCAAACTAGCCATCCTGGAGCCCCTCAACCTGCATCAGTGAGAACACTGTGTGATATTTAATCCATCTAACACAGGGACAAGGCACAGCACTGTTATGGGAGAACATCACTTACCACCAATGTTTTAGGAGGGTGGGGACACATCACTAACTACCAATGCCTTTAGTGGAGGGGAGATCAATGCCAGTGGGGGGAAAAAATATTGGTAACCACCAATACCATTAGGGGGGGGGGGGGGACATCACTGACCACCAATGATTTTAGGGGGAGGGAAAAAAAACACTACTGACCACCAATTATTGTGGGGGCAGGGGGGAAAAGACCAAACTTAGGTGTGGGTGGGAGGAACTACTTTCAAACCACCAATGCTTGGAAAGGGAGGAGGGGCTAATCCACTGAAAACAAATGCCTGTGAAGGACCGTGGGAACAGTTATGGCTCATTCACACCAGAACTGTCTGCTCTGGTGCATTTAATTTACATTAACATGTGTTGCATTAAGCGTACCCAACACGCCACATCAGACCAAAAAGCAGACATGCAGCATATTTGGTGAGTGCATGGCACTGTGTGATTCAGAAGGCTTTTGAGGATGATGCAATGAGTGCAGTGCAGTGCAAATAAAAGTGTGGTACAAACACTTCAAAGATGGTCGAGAATCTCTTGAAAATGAGCCACATTCTAGAAATATATATGAGAATGTTGAACGTGTACAGGCTGCAATCAACAAAGATCAGCAACTGCCAGTGTGAGATGATGCTGATGGTGATTCCAACAAAGAATTTTGCAGAGTGTTTTGAATAGTGGAAGAGACACTGGGAGAACTGTGTGAGGTCTCAAGGTGCCTGCTTTGAAAGGGACTGAGGCGCCATGATACTATGTACTGTATAATGTTTCTTGTATCTTATTCAATAAATGTTTTAATATTTTTAATATTACATTGCTGGATACTTTTTAGACAGACCTTGTATATGTGGAGTGGATCTTTGAAGTTGCTTTCTTATGCTGGCAAGATTGTAATACACATTGGCATCAAAACAATGTCAGAAGAGTGATGACCCATCATACCATCTTAATTTTACTGTCTCCCTTGTTGCTTTTGGGAACAGTTCTATTTTTTAACCACTAGCCTACTGGGTACTTTTACCCTCTTCCTGCCCATGCCAATTTTCAGCTTTCAGCACTACTGCGCTTTGAATGAAAATTGCAGCGTCATGCAACACTGTGCCCAAACTAAATTTCTATCTTCTTTTGAGACAAATAGAGTTTTCTTTTGGTGTTATTTAATCACCACTGGGGTTTTTATTTTTTGCTAAACAAACAAAAAAAGCCCAAACATTTTGAAAAAAATGTTTTAGTTTCTGTTATAAAGTTTTGTAAATAAGTGATTTATCTCCTTCACTGATGTGCGCTGATGAGGCTGCGCTGACGGGAACTAATAGGCTTCACTGATGGGCACTTTTTTGATGGAGTGCTAAGAAGC